CTATTTAGTTCCTCTTTCAGATCGTTCTCCATGTTCATTGAACGACTGAGATATGAGAAGACGTCTCCGCGATTGGAGAGCCATCTAATTCCATTTCTTGATGCTCGCAAAAAGCGTTCTTCATGAATTGAATCTTCTTTCGGATGATTCGAAGTCCTATCTGCTTCCCTACTTCGTTTAATTCCTTCAACATCGTCTCCGCTTCATTCATATTCCTTGAGAAGAGAACAATGTCGCCCGTAGAACGAAGTTCGAAAAGAATCTCCCAACAACTCATACCTCCCTCGCTTCAATTCACTGATTTCATCATTCACTGCAACGTGGCGGTGAACAGCTTTGGCGACACGGTGTCGCCTTGTTGTTCCCCCTTCGAGATTGGTATGTTAAGGGGACGATGGAAAAGCTGTATCGTTGTAGCGCAGTTCCTGTAGCAGTCGGCTAATGTCCTCACGTAAGATGAGTCCACTCCTTGGTCGACGAGCGCTCACATTATGGCATTAGTCTCGACGCTGTCAAACGCTTTCTCTTAGTCGACGAAGGTCAGGGCGAGAGGTAGGCGGTACTCTCGGCAAACCTCGATGATTCTCGAAACTGTCTGGATGTGATCCACGCAACTGAATCCCTTGCGAAATCCAGCTTGTTCTACAGGTTGGACTTCATGCAGTACCCTTGATATGCGAGCGAGAAACCTTCGTAAAGAGCTCATAAAGCACGCTCAGCAGGCATATTGGGCGGTAGTTCCTTCGGGAGGTTCCCCATTGGTCGGGGATCCTTTCCTTTTGAAGGTAGGACGTTAGATGTTTCGCAAGTATCCCGTGTGGGCAATGTCCTCCAGCTCGTAAGAGATCGGCCGAAACGTGGTCCGGTCTCGGAGCCGTGGCTGCCTTATGGTCCTAATTGCGGCGCGTACTTCAGAAGGTAGAATCCTTGTGGTATCTCTCCAGTGGGAATAACGGGGTTTGACACGGGTGATGAGCGGAAGGAATTGGCGTAGATCTCAACGTGATCGATTCCATCTTTTGTCGGGAAGATGTAAGAGTTCGTTCGCTTAGTAGTGTTGTCAGCGGAACGCG